CCCTTGAAAAAATTCTGCGTACGCCACTGAAACTTGTATTTTATTGAACTGTGAATCTCTCGATTTTTTTTCAAAAAAAATTGATTCAATGAAACTTCTACAAAACCTAGCTATGGGCAGCTTAAGTCTGTTTTGGATAAAGATAATTATAACTTTTTATATGTTTCCAACCTGTATTGATCTGCCTGTCATAGACTGATGACTGTCATGCTTTAGTGTGGCATAGGATAAAAAAAAATGTTTTGGACCAGGCGGTAAGAAAAAACTATGATTTTAGCCATTTTGTCTTAAACAGTGCCAACTTGGAAAGTATTATTAAAATTAATATTTGAAAAGCCATTTTCGTCAAGGAACATACTTGACTATTGATTGCTCCTAAGCTTGGCCTGCTTTACAATTCTAATAAAAGCTATTACTCTTTAGTGTTTTTCTGATTTTATTTATTTTATCGCATTATCAAACCATTTTTAATTTGCTTGTTCTTTTTTAAGGTTGGCATTTCCTCTTTGGTTATTATCAAACATTTTATTCTTCATGGTCATCCGGTATGGTGCCTATTTTCTCAGCTTGACAGGAGGCTGTTTGTTACTAGCAAATGTTCTATTCTGTTTCATCAGAAACCCAGTACCAGTCGAATTGCATTTTCAATCAAAGCCACTTGTACTACATTATGGTTGGTGCTACTGGCTTGTCCTCTTCACAGGTTAGTTTTTCAATTATTTAACGTTTAATCTGATGATTTGCTTCCTTTTTATATGACCGATTTCAAAAGCGCATCAAAAACTGACTAGAATTGAATTAGAGATGATATACTAAAATAATATTTTAAACATTTCACCCCGTGGCGAACATTCTATTGAACAGAACAGAATCAAATTTTGTAAAGGTATTATAAGCTATGCCTTTCACGCCCACACGCGATGAGCAAAAAATTTGGAATAAGAATTTTAACGATATTTTTAGCAGGAACAATAGAGACACTAGACAGAGAGACGAACAGGGCAAGATGCGGCATACAAATCATTGTGCCTTCTTCTTCCTTCTCGTTATAGACTGGCAGCGTTTAGTAGATTAGAAATGAATATAATGAAACACCGAAAGTATACAAAAATAACCTTTTCTTCATCGCAGCTTAACGCTGCCGGTATTAGTGTTAAAAATATTGTTCCAATTGCAGTTTTAGTTCCTTACTATGAGGATCTCGTTTTAGCGAGAAAAAGTACAGGTTTCGAAATATCGATACTATGAGAACTGGATCGCCGTTTATTATTGTTTATATCACTACAGTGTGCCTACCACCTTCTAATGCCTTGGCATAAAATAGTATTCCATTCTCTTTCACGGTGTGCTCGACGGGGAGTCTGGTGTAGACTTAAGGCATCATGTGTATTTTATAATTACCATGTATTAATTGTAACATTCTGTACTAGTCCATATACTGTTTGAATAATTTAAAGTAAAAGTATAGTTATTTTCTAAAGTTGAAGTACTGGGTGTTCAAAAAAAATCAATAATTTTAAAAAATGAAGCTTTTTTTTTTTTTTTTTTTTTTTTTTTTTAAAAAAAAANNTTTTTTTTTTTTTTTTTTAAAGAAAAAAGAGAAGAACTGAACGAGGCAGAAATACACAGTTTACTGCATTCGACTTAAAAATCCGGATAATTTATTCTCACCAAGTTCATCAACAGAGTGCTGCTAAGTGAAAAAAATTATAAGACAATGTTTTCTACTACATGTTAGACCATTCCAAGTAAAATATTTGCACATGCATCTGTAAACTTTATCCACAGACTATATCAGGTTAAAGTAAATATTGGTTATTTTGGAAACATTGCTTTATAATTTTACTTAAGTAGCAGCTCTTTGAAGAATTTTGTTATCAATGTGGAAACATTTTGAGACAAGTGTTATTCCTTATTAGAGATGAAGCAAACCGCATATATTTCTATTTCCACCCGTTTTTTTTTAATTGATTTTTTTAAGTCGTAGATTTTAATTTTGGAACACGCGATATTTAAACGTATGAATAATTCAAAAAGAGTTTTAATTTTATTATTATTTTAGGCATCTTGTGTGAGCTTCTGACAATCATAATAATTTTTATGGATCTGCGTTATCCAGAAGAACTATCAGAATTTTTTGGAACAGATATTCTCCAAGATTATGAAGACTTTTACGTTGGTAATTTATTCCCTGTTGGTAAATAAACTTAATTATAAAAGTTTTCATTGTAGTCTTAAAGATACGAAAACCAGCCCTCATGGCATTCAAATGCAAATAACTACTATTTTTCATGAATCATACTTATTTCTTTAGATCCAGTTGAATTAGGCCTCATTCCTCCTGAAATAAAAGCAGGTCCTTCTCCTGATTATGGCACCGTCAGCAGAAGACCTTCACAGGTAAATACTTCAGAAACGCATTAGAAATACAGCACTTCCTCCTCACAACTTCACCCACGATTCCATTATTCCCAAATATATATATAT